GCAGTCATACGTCTCGAGCACTGACGACGGTACGTCAACGTCAGCGTCCTGACGCCATGCCCACGGTCAAGGTCTTAATGTCACTGCCAGACGCAAGGAGAGGTTCTACAACTAACGTCATGACTGACGCAGGAGCATTTTAAACTGTCTAGTCTGACGCAGGAAGAATTTTAAACAGGTCAGTCTGACTCGAATGCAGGCTAGAGTCTAACGAGCGTACTGCCCCGACCAAGGGAGGTTCTAACGTCAGTGACTGACGCAGGAGATTTTAACGTCAGTCTGACGCAGGCTAGAGTCTTAACGTTACTGCCCGACGCAAGGGGAGGTTCTAACGTCAGTGTCTGACGCAGGCTAAGGTCCGAACGTCACTACCAGACGCAGGGGGCGGCTCTAACGTCAGCGACAGACGCGGGCAGAGCATGTGGTCACACGTTTTGGTCCGTGCATCTGACAGCGCAGACAATGGCCGCTGCTGTTGTTAGGAAGCGGGGAAGCGGTGCGCGCGGCGGTGGGAAAGGGGAGGGAAGGGGGAGCAGGTGGGGGGCTGCCGTGTGACGTAAAAAGCCTTTACCGATCGACCGGGTCGCCAATTGTCTACCGCACACGCAGTGACGAAACGGAGAGGAGGGGTGCGACGGGGAGGTAGGACGAGAGGAATGAACGTAAGGACAGTGAGATGGAGGGCTAGATAAAAGGGAGAAGACAGGAGAGGGATTAGAGATAAAGATATGAAAAGTGTCAATGATCACTGTGGCTCACATCAAAAAAGTGACACAAATGATGTGACGTAGCGAGAACCGTCGAGTTTTAATTGAGCCAACCATTCGACCGTACATTATAGAAACGATTGCCATCTGTATATCGATAATAATTAAATTTATAACCAAATATGAATTTTCACAATACTTGTGACCGTAGATAGGCGCATACCTCGCTTTGTAGCGATGGCGTTTGAAATAAATTTAGCGTTTGGCTGGCGCTTCCGACACGCTTTTGTAAATCTTTACTCTAATATAGACGGTTTTTATCGGCAGGGTGGAGCAGGAAAATACCAATTTTTGCATTAAAGATATTGTCAATGAAAATCTTAGTAAACGAACAGACGAGTGTGACACACGAGACTGTTTGTGTCTATTATAATATGCTAAATAATTTCAAAACCCTTACCTAAATTCTGCATAATTTTTTTTTTAAATTACTCAAAACCCCTAGCCCCTTTATTCATTCACATACCAAAAAATGAGCACAAAATCCGTTGAAGCCTAAACTGACTAATTGGCAATTTCCCATTATTTGTCAAAGACAAAGTTTGCCGGTGGCTCGAAAAGTACGTGTCGACTTGGCGTGCCTTTCAAAATCTTAGGATTAGGACGCTTTAATATGGGAGCCATAGCCAGTAATCAACTTATTACCCGATTCCAAACACGTGTGGCCCAACGGTTTCCTGAGTTTATCGTTGACCGAAAGCGAATTGTTGACGGAACGGAACGGACGAGACGGACGGACGGACGGACGTACGAACGGACGTAAGCGGACGACGACCCATGGCAATAGCTCAGCTTGACCGATCGTCGGGGAAATGACGTTGTGCTTGGCTGTCGCACCTGACGCCACGCGCGCGTCACAGGGAAAAAAAATACACGAGAAAAAAACACCATCAGTGAGAATCGTGACTCATATTATTGTCGACAGCGCTAGGTAGCGTTCTTCCCCCTCTTGCCCGTCCCCTCCCTCCCTCCCTCCTTTCCTCCCTCTCTCTCCCTTCTCATCGCCTCTCTCCCTCCTCCTCTTCCTTCCGCGACGTCTGTCTGTCTGTCAGTCTGGCACGTAGATTTTTTCTTTCATTTCGCACCTTTGTAAGAGCGAGACACGCACCCTTCCACCTGCCCCCTCTCCCTCCCTCCCCGCCCCCTCCCTTCCACCCTTCCCTCCCTTTAGCGACGTCCGGTTGGTCAATCCGGCGCGTAGATGTTTTTCCTCCATTCCGCACCTTTGTGAGAGCGAGACATGCACCCCTCCCATGCTCCCCTCCCCTCTCTCCCCCTCCCTTTCTTCAGCGAGGTCCGGTTGGTCAATCCGGCGCGTAGGTTTTTTTCTTCCATTCCGCACCTTTGTGAGAGCGAGACACGCACCCTCCACCTCTCCCCCCCTCTCTCTCTCTCTCACCGCCGCTCCACCCCCAACGTCCGGCATCCCGCTATCGCCCTGCCAACCTGTTCATCCCCTCCACTCCCCCCCCTCCCCCGTCCTCTCACCGCGTCTGCTATTGTGTTACGCGTGCGCGTGTGTGGTAGAGAGACGTGTCGTTTCGGTTTTCTCCTACCGGCTGTTCGCCCACGCCCCTCCATGCTTGAGCGTGGTCACAGCGGGGTTGGTAGGGTGGTGGCGGGTCAGTGGGTGGTGGGGTAGGCGTAGGGTTCACGGCGATGGGGGAAGGGTGGTGGCGGCGGTAGCAGAAGTTGGTAGGGGGTTGGCGTGAGGGTGGGGTGGGTAGGAGTGG